TGCTGGCTGGGGAATTCTGGGAGTTGAAGTCCACTCATCTTAAAGTGGCCAAGTTTGGACAACACTGCTCTAAGGAAAAGTGCTTGGGGAGCCTTCATTACCTCACACAGCACATTAAGAAGTCCATGAAACCACCATTCATAATCATGCTGTTCTATAAGATAATAATAAATCTTTCCTTGGATAAGAGAGGAGACACTAGGATCTCATGAGGGATGAACCAAAAAAGATGGTATTTTGATTCCAGCTATTCTTATCCTCATTTTGCAAGCATCAGCCTTTCTTTTTCCTTCTCTTGTGGCCACAGGACAGACTTGGTAGCCATGCTTGCATCTTACAATCACAAAATAAACTATCTAAACCCCAGAAGCTACATGTGTTCAAGGAGAAGAATGCCCGACTGAAGGATCCAGGTGCCTGGAACCAAGTTTAGTGCTTCTATCCCAAAGCAGGTGGGGGAGGGGAACTAACCAACTTGGATGAAAGGTCCTGTTCTTTTATCATCTCCAAGAGAGTTCATGGCTAGATCAATAGATTATGTTTAAATGTATCCTGACTTAGCATAAGAAATAAATGGATCATTGCTGATTTTTGTTACTGTTTCTTAAATGTATATAAATGCCTATCCATTTTTCTGAACATGACATTTATGCTGCTTGCATTCAGTAATATCTTTATAAACTCTGTTTAATAAAATATATTTCACTGATTCTACTTTTAATGCTGGTGGCCATCTATTGGGCTTATGTTTTTATTTTATTTTTGGCTTAGTACAATTGTAGAAATAATGGAGCATTGGCTTCAGTTGATGCTAACTTGGGATCCACAGCAAAGAGGAGGTGGTATAGATCCAGACACGGGCAGTTACAGATGTTTTCAAGTAATGGAACAATTGTTGGGTCTGAAGGTAAGTGGCTAGATGATATACTTTGATCAAAAAGACTAATTAGGAACACAATCATTTTATAAGCTTTCATTTGTTTCTTTGAAATCTCAACAGACTCAATAACATCAGGACAAATTGCTCAAAGGAAGGAAAGGAAGGAAATTAATTAAACCATTTTCCCAGTATACTTTTATTTTTGAAATAACAGTAACATGGTTGGAAATTGGGGCAAGTGGGAGAGAGAAATCCCAGTTGCTACAAAGAAACACTGCTTTTTTTTCAATTTTATTTTGAACATCTTAAACCTATCTCCTAAATTCATAACTCATCTTCAAAAATAACTCTTTCAAAGTATTGAGTACTTTGACGTTTTGTTGTGGCTTTTTTTTTTCCAGATTGTTCACATCTTAAATATGACTTCTGCCAAAATCCTCTCTTATTCATTGCACCCAGAGGAAAGTCTTCATTCCTTGCAATCCCGAATTGAAGCTGACACTGGAATAAGCACAGGAAGCCAAGAGCTTCTCCTTGAGATGGGAAGCTGCTTAGATCCTCGGAAACCAGCCTCTCAGTGTGTCATTGATGGCGTAGTAAGATAGATTTATTTGTTTGTTTGTTTTTCAAATTTAATCACCGCCCATCTCACTCAAAGTTTTTCTTTTAAATTCTAATAAATGAGGTCTCTTATATGCACATCTTTGATTTGATCATTCATAGCAGTCAGGCAGATTATATGAATTTATGCCACATTGGAAACATTTTGCTGTCACCTATTTTATTTTCTGAAAGGCTTTTGATAAATGGCATTGGTAAGCTGCATCCTTTTCTTCATTTAAATTTCACATTGGCAAGACTATAAAAGACTGCAAAGTTTGATGCTTTAGAAGCACCAGCGTAATATGAAGAAGGATTAAGCATTACTGCAATTTAAACCTCTTGTGTGTTACACTATTATACTTGTGAAGTTGACAACTTTAGCCTGGAATGGAGGGGCTGTGTTCTTTCCTTTAAACTTAAGTAATGAATACTAATTTAGACTCGTGAGTTTGGAAATCCCCCAAATAAATAAAAGATAAACATATTAACAGTGGTCATCTCTCTCTGCCACTCTATTATCAGGAATTGGGGTTTAGTTTTGAATTCAAGGGGCAGAGTAATGCCTCCACAGTAGCTTCTGCCTCTAGCTGCAGTGAAGACAGGAGAAAGTACATGGCCCACTCGATTGACAAGCTGGATCCAGGTAGCTTCTCACAACTCTGCAGAGTTAGTCCATACACCAGCAGAGAGTCCAGGTTAGGAAAGTCTGATGACAGGGATACCATTTTGCTCTTCTTTCCCACACTGTCATCCCTTAGTAGCTGTTCCTCAACTACTGCAAAGGAAAAAGGGGAACAGTTCTGCCCATCTGCGCTGGGGCTAAATGCTGATGGGCATCTTTCGTTGGTCATTCCACATCACTGCTTCATCCTGTCCTTATGAGCATATTGTTTTTAAGTAACTAAAAACAGCACCTAGAAAACGTAAGCTATTCTATGTATGTAATATGATGTATCTTCATCATATTATTCAGGCACAGAACTTCGATTGTAAATCTTCACTTAGGATCCCAATTACATGTTCAGGATTCACAATTTGTTATGAAATAATAAGCAGTAAGAGCTTCTATTTGTCTTGCAAGGAAACCAGAAAACCCAGTATTGGAGGAGGAACAGCAGGCAGAAGTCCAGAGAGTTAACATTTGGGGAAAATGACAGGGAAAATTGAGGCTGGCCCCTGCTTCAGACCAGAGCTATGAAGGATAAGAAAAATCTCAGAGATTGTCCCTAAATAGGAGGGAAAGATCACAGAGAAGAAAGAGAAGGTACAGAGAATAGAAAGATCTTTGTCACCTTCTGCTCCCATCTCCAGCTATTTCCCCAAGAACAGTCAACCAGACACATTTGGAGATGGGAGCAGAAGGTGGCAAAGGTCTTTCTATTCTCTGTACCTTCCTTAGTGGATAGGAAAAGGTCTTCATCTTTCCCTTCTCTTTCTTCTCTGCGATCTTCCCCATGTACTTCTTTGTGCCCTTGCAGATAGGAGAGCTTCCCAGAGTTGTTAAGGCAGGAGTGCACGGACTTCAGATTTGTGAGCTCTGCCACAATGATTTCAGAATAAAGTTTTATTGCACAATTGCCCTTACTTACTGAATTTGACCAGAGTTATTTTTGTTTGTTTGGCTAACCCTCATGTCTTTGTAGTTTCTCTTATTTTTCTTTCCTCAAAAAATTGCTAAGGAAGAAAAGATGGAATAACTGTATTGAATGTTTCATTTGTTTGTGTTGGGGGCTGTTGTTTGAACTTGTCATTCAAGCTAAACTGTTCAGAAAGCAGATGCTATATTACTTTTGTGTTCTAGGACAGAACAGACTGGATCTCGCAGAGATCCTCTTCTTGTTAGCTCAGACTTTCTTCATTTTGGCAGAATAAGTTAGTGTTCCCAAGGGAGAAGGCATTTTATGAATGCTAGTGAAAGAACCAGAAATCAGAAATGCTTGCTAATTATTTAAATAAATCTCCTAGGTCAGAGCTACCTTCTTCTAATTCCTTTCTTAAGATTTGTAAAATAGATTATTCAGTTTAAATTATTCCAGAATTTTTCACTCTGCATGTGTGTGTATATATGTGTAACATGTATATGTCTGTGTGTGTGTGTGTGTATTCACAATATATATCTATATATGAGTGTTTATTCATTGATTCATATATGTTATTAGTAGTTATCTCAATTATTGGTACTCTTCCAAGGTTTGCATGGAAATGTTTTGATTCTATAATTTCTCTTCTTTACCAGAAAGGCTGGGATAGCTATATGGTGTATTTATTTGATAAAAGCAAAACTGTATATGAAGGCCCTTTCGCTTCTAGGAGTCTTTCTGACTGTGTAAATTATATTGGTGAGTATGCTGCAGTTTAATAATAGCTATTAGTTATTCTAAGTAGGGCTAAATTTTCGGAGAGGTTCATCTGTAGAAAAAATACTCTGCAATCGCTTTTGAGGCCTTATTAGAACTTTATAGTGAAAAAAACAAATGCCAGCACTGGATCAATCAGAACAGAGGGCAAGCTTCTGCCCCTGCCCTTTCCACTGTCTTCTTATTTTGAATCTAAACAATTACGTGCAGATTGTCAGCATGTTGCAAAAAGTTGTCTCGTTCAGCTTGGTAATATGCAGGGATTGTGCAGCTTCGGTTCATTCAGAAATGCTCTGAAATACATAATTTGGCCAAGGGGCCTAAACTTTGCAACACAAGCGTGTCGCGTGGACCGTCTATGGAGTGAGGAATAAGGGAATACCCAGGTCTAGTTTCAGCTGGAGGTGCCCATCCTACAGTTGGTGTCCTCTTCCTTCTGAGTGAATGCTGTGATTTCCGGGACTGTGGGAACTATACAGAGCCAGCTCAGCCAAATGTAAGAGCAATAACCTGAGCACTTCCTCTCTCCTTCCGAAGAGATTTTTGCCTGGAGGATCCAAGCAAAACTCTTCCCATTCAGTTCTCTTCTCGTTGCTCTATCAGCTGTAGCCCCGGTAACATTTTCTTCGGAGAAGGGAGGTCCAAAGAGAAAGGCCACAATTCTCTGTGCTGTTTACCCAAACTAGTTTCAGGGTAAGAAGAAGTCCATCCAAATAGCGGGTCAAGGAGCTTTTAGAACAATATAAGTTTCTTCCTGCATTATTTTATTTGATGTGAATGGACTTGTGTTAGCTTTCCTAATTTTTATAATTCATCATTTAATTTAAAGGTATGATTTTCTTAATGCTTTAAGAAACATCAGTGTTAGGCATTGCACTTGTTTTGAAAAGAAAAGGATGCATTAAGCAATGATAGCCTGACCAACACAAAGGAAATTGCTTTTTATAACTTCCGGTTCTTAATATATGTAATAAGGATGGCTGTTTTTCCCTTTTTTCTCTCACTCAGTAAAAGACAGCAAAATTCAGCTCCCCATTTTTCAGCTTCGAAAGATCTGGGCTGAAGCTGTGCACTACGTCATTGGCCTGAAGGAAGACTATAGCCGGCTGTTCCAGGGCCAGAGAGCTGCTATGTAAGTCCCAGGTACCCCTAAGAATGGTCAACGGTGGAAAGAACTTGCATATAAGAGGGCTGCAAGATCAGCTCAGCAGCCCTTCTGGTCCTTCCCGTGTTCCCCCTTCCGGTGCTAGCCAGGGGCATCCACTGGGGGGTCCAGAATGTCAAGAGGGCAGGGCTTCGCTTGTGCTTTTGACCTGCCCTCTTGACCCTGCTGATAACAGACGATACAATCGGTTTTGATTTCAGCAGAGCATTTGAGAAGGCACCCATGACGTTTTGATTAACATGCTAGTTGCATGGCATGATGTTTAGGTGGACACATGCAAAGAGTGCTCCTTATTATTTCCTCATCAAACTGGAATGAGACATCAATTGGTGTATAATCCTGACCCCTCTATTCTTCAGTATTTTTATTTAGCCCTTGAATGAAGAGGTGCAGTGTATGGTTCCCAGATGTGCAGAGGACACCAATGGGATGGCTAAAATTTCAGGGCAGTAGATGATCAGGGGACTAGTACCTCTGGGCACACATTTTAGGATGATTCAGGAAACAGAACAGGAACAGATGTAGTGAAGGGGAGTGAAAGATGCTAGAAAAAAGACAGCACAAAGCATCTTATTTTCTCACCTTTCCCCAATGTGACTGCCTGTCAGCAGAGATGTTTAGCAGAACTAAACTGATGCATAAGACTGTAAAAGGTCCATAATATACATCAGTCAACTGGAGACCAGAATAATGGCATGCAGCCATTATGCAACTGTATAAACAGAGACAACCAAAGAGTTGTGAATTTTTCCATTTAGTGTCTCCACTAGGTAGAATGGCAGACCCAGATAAGTCTATCCCCATACATACATTGGAAACATGATTACAGGACTTCTAATATCACCCAGAGCATCAGGGGGACATGCACTCGCTCATCTTCCAATGTGGTATATGTCATCATCTATCAATAGTACACTGGACAAATTAGCAATGTTCTATACAACATTCCATACAATGCTAAGTATAACACTATAAAGAAACCTTTGAATAATCAATTCAATCCTCCAGGACGCTCTCTCAGACCTCAAGGTGGCCAGAGAATTCCCTGGGAAAAGATATAGTACAAAAGCGAACCCATATTATTTCCTTTCTTCCAAGTAAATGGGAGTTAACCCACTTCCCTTTTGCTATCTCCACATAGCAGACTGGAAAAAAACTTTTGTGGTTAGTATGGATATTCCAGTTTAGCCCTGGAGAAATGAAGGATTGAAATTGTAAACATGGTTGAATATTCAAAGAGATGTTTTCTTACAGTTAGGGTGAAGCATTAACCCAGGGAAAAGCTAGGCCTAGATGTAGTTATGACAAAGTTTAACCAAAACTAACCTATAGGCATGTTTATTATTACTACATTGTAAATATTCTTTTATGAATATATACAGTGAAGAAGAAAATGGATCCATTTAGTAAAATGCACAGGGGACATTAAATATATTTCAAATTATGTTTAAACTGTGGTTGTTGTAATGATTGAGCAACAAACAGCCAATAGAACAAATGACCAAGTCTGTAATCAACAGTGTATGTGTAGATATGACAGAAATTAATCTTAACTTCTCTTTGTCTCAATTTCTAGGTTAAGTCTTCTTAGGTACAATACCAATTTAACCAAAATGAAAAACAATATGATATCAGCATCCCAGCAATTGAAAGCAAAACTGAAATTCTTTCAGCAAAGTATCCACCTTGACTTGGAAAGATACAGCGACCAAATGACATATGGAATCTGTAAGTATTTGGGGCAGCAATAGCCCCAAACTACCCAAGTGCTACATATTTTTATTAACTTGTGGGAATGCTACCCGCACAAGGTCACTCCCAGCTTACACACAGCCTCCCATGGATGGTTGTAATGCATATTATCAGGATCAGACAAAATCTTACTAACTGAAACTGTTTTTCAGTCCGTTCATCTTCTTAAGAGTCCAAATGCTATGAGCTCCCTAAAATCCAGAAATCCAAAACCTTGTTTTCTACCTCTTTCTTGTCTGAAATGTACAAAATGTGTTAAAATAGCAAGGATGCTCAAGGGGATGAAGGAAGCCAGGCCAAAAAACAGCATAATTCTGGTGCACATTGAAGATAAGATGTTGAATGTGGAGCGTTTATTGCCCGTTTCCAAAATCCATCAGTATTACTCTTTCTGTTTTGAAGTAATGTTTGTTTCGAAATAAGTGTTGCTCATTTTCAGAGAATATTGCTTCTTTAAATTAACTGCAGTATATTTCTTTAAGCCTCAGAGAAGATGTTAAAAGCTTGGAAAGACATGGAAGAAAAGGCCTTGCAATGTGAAGAGGTATGGAAGTGCCCCATTATCAAAACCAGAATGCAGTGCTGTAAACCTACGGCTTTTATTGTCGTCATCATCATCAAATATTGTATTTTTAATTCTGAGATAGTATCGCATCCATGTATAGAGAAAAGATAGGAAACTAATCAAAATTAAATAATTAAATTAAATTACAATTAAACTAAACAATAGGAAAGTGATCAAAAACTTCCCATTATCAAAAGCAGAATGCACTGCTTTAAACCCACATTATTATTATTATTATTATTATTATTATTATTTCTTCTTCTTCTTCTTCTTCTTCTTCTTCTTCTTCTTCTTCTTCTTCTTCTTCC